AATCTGAACTTGGGAGTGGCCTGCTGGCACCGACTGGCAGGAGAGTCTCCCCGGCTCAAGAGCTCTGTCCTTTTGGTGGACATAACAAGGGAAAGGGTGGTGTCTGCACTCGCAAGCCTTTAACTTCCTGTTTTTAAATGGCTGTGCTATAGTCCGGGGTAGGTGCAAAGCAACTATCAACCAGATAAATACAAACAGCAGTCACTTAGGCTGGTACATCTGCAGGAGGCCTGGATCCCCCTGGTTTCTCTGGCCCCACACAAAGCCCCCAACCCCTCCTTGTGGTGCCTAATCTTCACTTTCATTTCAGCTAGCAATGCAAGGGGCACTCCCGAGCTGTCGCTATAACTGTCAAAGGAAATTGCCTAAGTGTCTCTGCCACATCTGAATGCAGCTACTAAAATGCCCCATGAGGTGCAAACTCGTAAACCACGCTGGGTAGGCCCCACACAGAAAATGTCTTATCATAACTGCAGTTATTTCATGCTCCTGTCATGACTCATAATGGACTCATATTAGAAACCTTCCCTGATGGCACAGGGGTTAAAGACAGCACTGTCAAGCTATCACCAGTCACTGCAGCACTAGTTCGATGCCCCAGCCGGCCAGGGAAGTGACCCACATGGCACAGCAGACCTCTCCTGTCTCACCTGCTGCTCCCCTCAGCAGTATATTTCAGTAGATCCACCTGTTCCGCTCCCCACTCTGTCTCTTGTGAATCCTCTCACCCCACACATCTGGCCTACACCTCTGCTCTTGCATGCATAAATAATAAGTCTTTAAAAAAATAAAAATAAAATGAAATGTGCACAGCCAAAAGAAAAAAAAAACCCACAATATGGACTGACCTCCTGCAAAGGGTTTGGGTGGGAAGGCAGAGGCATAGGCAAGTCCACAAATTGAAAAGGCCATGGTTACATTTTCTGTCCTTCAACTTCATAACTAGTCATCATCACGATGCATTTTTGTCTACAATGCATATTATCAAACAGGGACACAACATGATCTCAACCATTTTTTAACATATATAGTTTATAGCCTATAGAGGAAAAGCACCCACTGCCTCTGGGTGGTAGAAAAATGAATGATTGTTTCTCTTCTGCACTTCCTAAATTTTCCAAAATGAGCACATATTATGTCTATCATTAGATTAAAATGACAATACAAAAGCCTTCAGAATTCAATCTAATCAAGTAAAACAACAAAGGGGGTGACCCAAGAAGTCTTTCCATAAAGGGTATAATCTTTCAATACATTCAACCAGGCAAAAAAATCCCAGGCGACAGTAAAAGTAAACATATTGCAAAGGGCAAACAAGAGAGGAAGAGAGCGCGCGCCATGGCTTTCTCCTCCATGAAGAGGCGCTTTCAAACAAAACCACAATCCTGGGGAGGAACACAAAAGGAAGGTCCAGAGGGGCAGTCTTCGCTGGCACACTCAGGCACAAATGCTGCCTGGGGGCCTCTGGCCTTGCTTGACAGCCCATCCAAGTCCAGGCTCCTGGGGAGGGCCTGCCAGATGCTTTCATGTCCAGGGCACACTTTCAGAAGATGCAACAGACCCACAGGTGAGCAGGAACCACACCCGCAGATGATGTCTGTCCTGGGATGGGTTCCTTCCGGTCAGGGGCTAGAGATTTCCCTGGAGAGAACCCTCCACCTCACTCCTGATGGAGGGGGAGGGGTACATGGGGGAGGAGCCTGCAAATCTAGCCATGGCAGACACGTGTTTGCTATAGGATGAGCTTTCAGGGGATCCCAGGGGCCAGAAAGGCCAGGAAGTGGCCCCACCAGGCAGAGCCAGGCTTATTAACCAGCAATTCCTGGTGTGGCTTCGTGAAAACAGAGAAGTGGCTCTTCTAGAGTTTAGGCACTTCATGCATCCATGTGGCAAATACTTTATTGAAAGCTCTGTATGGGTCACTGGGCAAAACGCTGGCATTAGAATGGGGCCTACAAACTGGCTCCTGCCCTCAGCGATATCCTTAACAAATACCACTCATCAGAGTATCACCAATCTGAATAGAATGGCCCAGGGACAAGGCCCTCAACCCATCAGCCACTAAAGAGGAATTACTCAAGTTCAGGATTTACTCAAATTCAGGAATCAGCAAAGTACAAAAGGCAGTGGACGCCAGCTCGCCAGGAGAGGGAGACAGCCAGCCCCTGCCAGCTGTCTCCTTTATTCTTTCTCTCCCTCCTCGCCCACTCCAGGTATTCTCCAGCCACGGAGGAAGCCAGGAATCCATCTCTTTTGCAATATTATCCTTCTATTTCAGATACAGTTATCTGGAACTCCTGCCAGAGGGCTCCAAATTTTTAGCAACACAATCTGTCCCACACTGTGCTCCCTTCTGCCTCTCCAGGGTGAGCTGGGGAGACGGCACCTGCACAGCCTGCGAGGGGATCAGCTCTCATGACCCGAAATGCTTCAGAGAAGTAAGGATCAGGTGGCTTTTAAAGGCAGTCGAGGATTTGACCTTAACCATCAGAGATGATGCAGCTGAATAAAATGGGGGGGGGGCGGACAAGAAAATGTCTCATATGGATTTCAAAGCATTTTTTAATGTGCCTTGTATTAATAAACCATTGACATGGAACCATATGTATGTGATTCAAAATAAGAAAGACCTTGCAGATTAAACTGTCTGCAGGTCCACATTCAATAGAAGGTATTGAAAGTAGCATCTGCTATGAACTGGGGGGAAAAAATATCTAAAGCTCATACTTGAAAGATCTGAATTACAAACAATGTCGTTCTTATAAGGAAAGGCAAACAGAAAGATGGGAAGGCTGGAGCAGAGGGGACCCTTAGTAGGATGCTCTTGCAAAGGCCCCCTCCCTCGGTCCAAAAGGCTAGACAGACAGGGAGTGCCACTGGCAAGTCCACCGAATATTCTAACGAGAGCTGGAAATTTGAACAAGGTGCCAATTACAAGTTGGAAGTATGCGCCTAGTATTTCTGGCTAGGAAGTTATTTGCTAATTTTCACCCAGGAAAAGAGCGCAGGGTGACAAAAAACACAGAGGCAGGATGAGTAGTAGTCGTTCACTGGACAGCTAACAGGAACAGAGAAGAAAAGTGAGTCCTGCTGGCCGCTGATATTCATCGCTATTCCAGGCTTTTCTGCAAAGAATTACCTGGCATGCCGGGTGCAGGCAAAACTTCAAATGACCCAACCACCACATTTCTACAGCGGACATCAAATCATCTGGGCCTTTATTTAAGTTGTTTGAGCCTTAATGTGTCTGCACACCACCCAGTCCCCCAGCCCTCCAGGGAGGAGTCATCGGCCTGGTCCCTGGATGCCGCCGTTGGTCCTGCCCGCTGCTGCCACCACCATGCCTGGCTGCCACCACCGCGCTGTTGCCGGAATGCCAGCGAGGTCCATTTTTAAATTCCCTTAGAAGTTTCACAATCACCCGTTTGGGTGAGCAGACAAACACCGCTGCAGTTTGCTGACATGAAACTAAAAATACTCAGCTGCAAACAAAAGCCATCTTTTACAAGGCTGGCCGGGATGTCCTGAGGTTACATGTGGTGGTGTCAGCCCATAGCCCTGGCCGCGTGGCCGCCTTCACGGCGGCTCCAGGCCCAGCGGGGCAGAGGGGCCCTTCAGTCCCCGGCTGTCAAGGAATCTCCCAGCCGGCAGCCCTGGCTTGATGGAAAGAACAGCTTTATTCCTCAGCCGCCGACCCAAACGCTGGCTACATGAATTCGGGGCTGCGTCTGCTGAAAGTGTTAGATACACACGGAAAGAAGAAGGCGGGAGGCAAAGAAGAAAAACACCAACCCCACTTCCCTGGAAGGAAATGTGTTCCCAGCGCCCTCCTCCTTGCCATTAGAAAAGCAAATTATTGCTGTGACTCTATGAAAAAGGCAACTCAGAGGTGGAAAAAAAATAGATTTCCAAGCCCGTGTGGCCAGGCGGGGTCTAATGGGGGACTAGAGGCGGGGGTGTTGGGATGCCTAGGCCCGCAGACCGGTGTTACCCCTGAAACCCCTTGGGACGGTTCTACCTGTTGAGTTCGGAGGCAGCAGCAAGCCCCCACCGCTGCGCTTCGGGGCGCCCCTCCCTCCGGCTCCCAAACTTTGCTCGGCGCCCCTCGAAAGGGCCGAGACTCGGTTGTCCCCCGCTCCTGATTTCAGATGCTCAATTCGGGTGGCCAGCGGGGTCTGGGGGGGCAGAGGGCTCGCCCGGGGCACTCGGGTGGGGGATGCCACCCGACGGTCAGCCCGGAGCCCGACCGAAGTTTCCTCCAAAACCGCAGGGGCCAAGCATGAGCCAGGGGCTCCGGGCCCCCCCCGGGTCAGAGTCCGGCGAGGGGCAGCGGGTGTGGGGCAGGCCCCAAGGCACCGGTCACAAGGTCAATGCGGATCCGAACCTTTGGGACAAGCAGCCGGGCCGAGCCCCTTCCCCGGCGGGGCGGAGGGGCAGCGCCGAGCACCCAGCCTCTCCCCACACCTGCTCCGCCGGCGCGACACCTCCGACACGTGGGGGCCTCGCCCGGGGCTCCCCAGCCCTTGGCGGGGACTCGCAGCGCCCGTACCCCTCGCCCCCGGCCGGGCGGCCAGGAAGAGGCAGCGCGCCCCGGCGCCAGGCTGCCGGCTCCCCGCGCCCCTCCATCCCCCGCCCCAGGCGCGAGCCACGCGGGGGTCCCGAGCTCTCCAAACAGCCCCCCGCCCCCAGGCAGCTCCCCACTCCCTCTACCTTTCCCCGCTACCTCGCAGACAGACGAGAGACACAAAGAAAAAAAGAGGGGGGGTCGGGGCGGACACTACCCCCCTCCCGGCCCCATCCTCCAGCCCGGAGCCGGGGGGCTGCGCGTCTCCGCGCCTCCTGCCCATCCCCGCGGCGACCCGGCGGCCCCGGGCAGCGAGGAGCCCCGAGGCGGCCGGGGGAGAAGAGGTGAGGCTGGAAGTGGCAGGAACCAGGCGGAGCGAGCGAGAGCGCGAGAGCGAAGAAAATATCCAACAAAACCACGCTAACGCGCCCCCTACCTGGGTGCAACATACTTTGGAAATAGAAGATGACCAGGATAAAGGATCCCAAGCAAGTGGCCAGCACCATCCGGCAGATTCTGTTCATCCTCATCACTTCCAGCAGCGCCGGCTTCATGGCTTTGTCCTGGCTGCGGGACCCGGGGGTCCGGGAGGCGCGCCCGGGGCGCAGGAGCCGGGACCCCGCCGCGCGGAGGCGAGCCGGGCAGGCGCCGCGCGGGGCCGGGCAGGGCTCCGGGGGAGGGTCGGGCCGGGCCGGCGGCGGCTCTCGGAGGCCCCTGCCCCGGCCGGGGGTGCGGACGGCGCCGGAGTTGCTCTGCAAGTGCCGGGATGCGCGGAGCCGCCGGCTGCGCGCCCGGCTCCTCCCGCAGCGCCTCCTCGCGTCCCCGCGGCCGCCTCCGCGGGCTGCTCGCGGGCCGGGCGCTCGGGGTGCGAGCGGGGATGGGGGTGCCCTCGCCGCGGGCGCTGCGCGGGCCGCTGAGGCTGTCGGACGGGCCCCCTCCCGGCTCTCCAAAGGCTACTTCATTGCGCGCCAGTGATCTATATATTCCGAGGCTGGGCTGGACCCGGCGCCGCTCGCAGCCCCCGGCGAGGGGAGGGCGCCCGCGGAGCCCGGAGGAGGGAGGGGCCCGCGCGCGGGGCGGGGCGCCGCGCTCCCCCCGCCCTGCCCGGGACATGGTCGCGTCCAGCTGTTTCCCGGGGAGCGCGCGCCGCGCTCCCGCAGGGTCCCAAAAGCCCTCAGTCCCCGGCCGGGCTGGGCCGCCGGCTGGGGCGGGTGTCCGCGTTTCCATGACAAAACCCGGAGGAAAAAAATACGAGCCGCGGCGCCGCGGCGCTGCCACCCGCTCCCGCCGGCGCTTGGAGAGGGCAGCGCGGGCCGCGGGCCGGGGCCCGGGCGCGGGAGGGTCTGGGGCGCGCAGTTGCTGAGATGCTCCGGGCTGGGGCGCCGGGAAGTTGCCCCGAGCCCCCCGAGAGCCGGCGCCCGCCTCCCGATGCTCGGCACCGGGCGGTTTCGTTTTTTGTGCAGACCACAGCCCCCCCGGGGCGCGGCAGGGACCGGGGTTAAAGCCGGCTGGCTGCGGGTCAAGGTTAGGGAGCCCGCGCGGCCCCGGGGCTCAGGCGACTGCTGCGCTCTCCCGGGATTTACGCCGAGTCTCGGACGCCCACCCCAAGCAGGCAGTAGGGGCTTGTGGATTTTAAAATTCTGGCTGCCCAAAGGGTAGTGCGCCCTCCACATTCGCCCAAGTGCACGCGAGTCTCATTGGGATGGATGTGAGGGGGGCCCCCGCGTAGCCACTCTCCCGCGAGTCCAGCCCATTGCTGGAAAACCCAAGCCGGCCTTGGCATTGGCAGGTAAATGGAAAGATGGCGTTGCCTTCCTGTATGGTGTGAAGTGATTTAAAATTTCCATTTCCATGCATGTAGGCTGTTTAGCAATCAATAAAGTGAATGCAGACAAACAGGGTGAGATCTCCGTCTACCTGCCCGTATTAACTGGAGAAAATTGGTTGCTGTGGTCGATGCATCTGCTACCCAGAATGGAAGAGCTGGTAGCTTCTGCCCTTTGTGATTTCTGCGCTCAGAAATAGCCTCTGTCCTAGCCTTCTATTTATGAGTTTACATCATGGTCTTAAAAGTGAAAGGATTATTTAATATAGATTTCATTATATTATGCATAATTTGATATATCCAACAATCATATCTACCAGGAAAAATGTCATTGTAAAGACAAACTTTTGTGCCATGTTCTCAAATCATTACTACTATTAATTCAATTAATAATAAAATAAGAGAATGTGTGTCTTTCAGGGCCTTTCACATAACAGGCAGTGGATAAATCCCCTGTGGGATCGGAATGTAATGGGCCTTCTCTCAATACATCAGAAACTCAATTTGCAAACAGATGCGTGCAGCCAAAACCACCTCTACAACCTCAGTTCCTTCCCCGAAAGTTTTCTACCAGCAATTGCAAGGTAGGGAGAGTAAAGTCCTCAGCCTTGCCATTGATTACAGAAGAGAATCAATTACAGCACAATATTTCAGTATTAATCTGTACTCTCTTGTGAATGAGTCACTTGCTAAAGGAACACAGCTGAACATTTTCTAGAACGCTCATTCTCCAGGGATTCCTCCACAAGATAGTGGGAATGAGAGCCACACACAGGTAGGCAGTCCTTGCAGGGAGCATGGCTAGATGAGCACTTACAACACTTTGCCTAGAATGTCAGGTTCTCATTTAAGTCCTGTCTCACAGAACTGGGAGGCAAAGGGATTTGCTCCCAGGTCACCCAACTGGCCTCTCACTTTCAGAGAGAGACAGAGAACATACAGTTCCTGTACTAAAGCCTGGACATGCACAAGCAGTCTAGGAGTTACAGGGCCAAGGAAGAGGTCAGACGTGTAATCCCTGATGGGTCATGGATGTTGAGTTGGCCCGCATTGCGGAGAAAATGATGAGCATCCATTTTTGCATTCCCACAATCAGCAAGAGGGCCAAACATACAGTGAGGGGTAAGACTCTGGCATGTAAACTACCACCTCTTCCGAGGAGTCTTACCTGATTTGTCTCCTGAAGTGGCCTTTTCGCCTCTGTGCAAACATCTAGGGCCAAACCCTTTTGAGTCACTACTGGACCTACTAACCTGAGTTTTAGCCCTCCGTCTCTTTCTAGTGTTCAGCATAGTGACTGGCACTTAGTAGGTCAGAGATGAGCGATACCCCTTCTTAGACTTGGATGTTAAATTAGATCACCTCTCCAAAGTCTATGGAGGGCCTCCCCTGGTGGTGCAGGCGGTTGAGTGCAGCACTGTGAAGCTGTCTGCAGCCTCTGCAGCAAGGGTTCAATCCTGGCCGGCCATGGAGATCCCCACATGGCGCGGCAGACCTCTCCTGTCTCACCCGCTGCTCCCCTCAGCAGTGTATTTCGGTCAGTCGGCCTCTTTTGTTCCCCGCTCTGTCTCTGGTGAATCCTCTCACCCTCCCACACGTCTGGCCTGTACCCCAGCTCTTGTATGCATGAATAAATAAATCTTTAAAAAAAAAAATGAAGTCTATGGAAATGGTCAGCGATCATGGTCTGGGTTTCTCTGTTGATCTCTGTCCTTTAGGGACAAGGGAAAGGTTCTATTTTTTGCCTCCCTCGTCACACTATAAACATTCCAGCCACAGGTAGAATCCTTGCTTGCTCTCCGCTCCTATTCCAACAAAACTTTATCACCCATATTACTCATGCAGCTTATTACTCTTAACCAGGTAAAAGGCAGTGTTGACTGATAAGAGTAAAGAAAAAGGAGATTTTATACTTTGAACTTTGAAGAGAGGAACCGGAGGCCAGCCTTTCAACCCAAGTTCCTTATTTTCCTCACGTGCTGCCACTGGGCCGTGTTAAGCTTCAGTGACAAAAAAGCCCTATTCTGCACTTCCATCTCCACCACGTGTCTGCTGTGGGTGGGCACAGGGACTATGCACGCGGCATTTTTCAAGGCTGAGGCTGAAGCAGCTGCCATCTAGAGCAAGGTCAGCTACAATGCCCGAGGAAAGGAGGTATCCCTGGAACAATTCAGGGGTCCAGCCTGGAGGTAGCACGTGTCACCTCTGTTCCTGTATCCACCAGCACTGATCAAAGCTCTCCACATCACAGCCAGGCCCAAAAGTCAGTGTATTGGGGGGTACCCTTCCTGGCTGCAACTTCATTTGCTTTTCAGATCTTATTTCCCTTGGTTTTGTAAATACCCCCCAATCCCCACCCAGAACTTCTGCAAAGTGGCCCCACATTCAACCCGGGGCCTGCTAAAGCTTTGTCAACCTATAAGTCTAACCCTTCCTTTCTAAGTCAGGCAACACGCAGATGAAACTGGGATCTGCCTGTCTTAAAGCCCAGTGGGGCCCTGAGAAAGGTATTGAGGAAAAAGTTCTATTTATGTTGATGGTCTTGGAAAATTCACAGGAGAGAATGAAATAGATGCTAATTCAGAACTCCGGGCCTGCGTGCACCCTCCGTCGTGAACCAAGGCATATTTACCAAGCCCTCCCATACCTGCAGGCCCGTTCCACCCTGTTCCTGGAGATTATGCCTTCAATGCACTGTCTTGTGCAGAACTGGCAGCGGTTGCAGGGAGGAGGTAGACAGAGAGATCCTTAGTGTCCCGGGGGCAGGGAGGGCAAGTCCTCTGCCAACATCAGCCTGGGGCCCAACAGGCTCCTCCAACAACTGGCTTTGCCCATTTGCATCTCTCTGGCACCTCCAGCACAAAGTACACTCAGTTAACCAGAGCACAGTAAATATTTGTGGAGTTGAATTAAAAAATCATTTGCCCACAGTATGGGGAGATCTTAGGGTACAAATTTTCTACAGGTAGGTAAACCACAAGTACACAAGCAGCTTACTCATGACACCACTCCCAGAACAGGCTTTTCTTCACGGGCGTTTCAGAAGAAGGTGGGAAGAGAGAAAGGGCTGGAAAAGGGACAGTGCACTGAGGAAGGGAGGGAAGGGGTTAGGGCGTGAAGGGGGGAGGGGACAGAAAGGAAAACAAGAGGTGACCGGGAAGGGACAAAAGGGAGCTATGAAGGGAGGGAGACATTCAGGGAGGGCTCAGAGGGCTGGAGGAGAGGAAGGACCAAAGAAAGACTCTTTCTCTTTCTCTTTCTGTTGCCACGTTGGCCCCTCTGCTAATTTTAGGGCCCACAGGCCTCCGCCACAGTCCCTGGGGCTGTCTCCCCATTTTGTTCTCTCCCCCCACCCCCACCCCCACCCCTCCTGCTCCGGATGCCTCAGTTCCTCCGTCAGCTTTCAAGGGTCAGTTTTTAAGTGTGTCTTTATCTCAGCATTTGTTTGGCTTCCATATTTAAAATCTTATCAGATCAGAGGATAAGATGAGATGTGTCAAAGACTGGAGCAAACAATGCTCACCTTTGTCTTTTTTGCCCCAGGGCCTAGTGGAAAATCACACCTCCCAGGGTCGGGTATAACCCTTCTCTCCAGATGAAAGGGCTTCGCTCAACCTACTGACCCAAAAGTATCTTGAGGTGGCGGTGCATGAAAAAGAGGAATGAGCCAAGTGTTCAGCGCCAGAGATGTTTTCCCTAACACCGGCCCTTGTGTTAGGTGAGCAGCCTGAGGAGTACTTGTTCAACATTTGTCCCTAGGACACAGAACGCCTGTATGTGTGTCAAAGGAAAAGGAGCAAAATGAAATAGCTAATTAAAACGTGGTGGAAATATTTATCGGGAGATGAGAGTTAAAAACAACTAAGATAAGGCTCCCGAGACCCCAACAGATGTGAGGACTGGATTTCTCACACACGGAAAGGAAGTGGAACTCGATGATAGACTATGGGCAAACGCTCAACCTCTGTAGTTCAGGGGAGAGCAATTAAAGCAAGAGGAGCTACCAGATGAGCAAAGGTTGGTGTGAAAGGAGGCGTTTCCCTGGATGCAGGGAAAGGTGGCCTGAAAAGGGCACACTGTTACTTTGCTGGTGGAAGCAACTGGAATAACCCCTTTAGAAATACACATATCCTTTATGCCAGCAATGGGGTGACATACCCCATTGTGGCTGCTGGGAAACTGGGTTTTGGAGTCA